TGTTCTTGTTAATTTCTTAGAAGTGAACTGGAAAGACTTCTTTGTCCAGATCCTTTACATTACAGCAACACATAAATATCAAAAAGCAAAATTTTAATTTGAAAAGCATTCTTAGGATAATCATGAGGCTCAAAAAGTAGCCAATTAAGCCTCCTTTCCCTTTCTCTGCAGAATATATAGCACTAGGCTTGAAATTCCTTCAATAGATTTTGAACAAAACTGGAGACTGAATATAAATTCAAAATACCAGAAAAAGTACGCCAAATACCAAGCTGATTTTTAGAACTTTTAGAGTAACAGTAAAAATTGTCAACTTGTATGTAAGGGTGTGTGTGTTTATGAATTCTTATTTTAGAAAAATGCAGAGCAATTTTGGGCTATGTTGACGTGCGTGTCAATTTCTTATTACTTTGTCTTCCAACTTCATTTTTCCAAGAAACAGGATTAAGTAAACACTAAACATGTTTAAAACACAATGTACTACCAGAGAAAAAGCCAGTGTAGACTCAGCTACTGGAATTACTTTTTTAAACTTCACCAATATCACACTATCTTTTGTGTAACTACTTTAGGTTCATCCTCTAAACCAGGGAGGATACTGCCTGAGGAAACCAGAATTACATCCAGAATTTGCAGCTGTGAGAAACACTTATTTCTGGCTCTTGAATAAGTAGCTGGTGGCGAAGGAGAAGCAAGACCACAACTCCCAACACACTTGCACAATGAGCTTGTGCTATTCATCAATACAGATAGTGCCCTCACTTAGAGCTTTCAACAGAGCCATCTAACTGCCTCTGCCCTCTCACTGCAGTGCATCTGGAGCAGGTTCCATCTATTTCGACCAGATCCATAGGAAGAGAGGAACCGAGATGCAGGGACCGGAGGTGGAGGGACTGGCGGAGAAAGGGCCCAAAGTGGAGCGATTGGAGGGGAGGGGCCAGAGGGAGGACGGAAGTGGTGGTACCAGCCAAGACAGTAGCTACTAACAAAGGAAGACAGGTTTTGCTTCCTATTCTCTTCTGAAAACACATTTGATGGGCATGATAAGAAGCTAATACAATTAAATGTTTTACAAAGTTAAAAATTTCTTCATATTTTATACTGTGAGCCTGATGACTAAATTAATTGCTCCCTTCTTCCCGTAGTTGACTTGTGACACATGAAAAACCTATATTTGGGTTAAATCTACATATATTAATAAATAAAATACCTTGTTAGCCAGGAAGAAAGAATTGCAAAAGTTATTTGGAAGGAAAGGTCCAAATGGTGATTTTATCTTACATAAAATGCAGTCAAGTCTATTTTCTTAAATATTAGTAAAAGTAATAGAAAATACGTTATTTCAAAAAAATGTTCTTATAGTATTAAAAAAGCACTTAGTCCATTCTCAGCTCATGATCTGACATCAAAAAGACATATCTACAACCTTCAAAATTATATAAATACAAACGACCAGAGCTATGAGCAAGTATATAACTTAAAGCATAAAAGTCAAAGCTTCTAGTTTCAAAAGGCATAAAAGTGCCATAAATATTAATCACACGAGTTGTAACATTGTGTAAAATATGTACAGTCCTCATAAAACACAATTATACCATACCATAAATTTTGCTGAAAGTTTATGTGCCAAGTGCAATAATCATTAATTTTAAATCACTTTGGTGGCTTTTGAGGATTTAGGAGGGCCCCTTTTTAGCAGGACTGAAGGAAAGACATTAGATAACCTGAATTCCTTCAATGAGTTGTTCAGAGGCCAAAGCTAATGTGTCTTCCCTTTCCCCAGTTAAACTCCCACACAGAACTCATCGTCCCTCAGATTCTCCCCTCAGCTTTCCCACAGCCCCTAAGCTTGTGGGCAGAGGCCTCCTGAATGGGGCTGATATTGCTTCTGCAACTCAAATTTGTGCTATACAGGAAGCTGCTTAAGATTTCTGTATCTCACCCTCTTCTTCCTATCTTTAAAGCTATAGAAATTGTTTTGGTTTCTGAGAAATGGAAAAAAAGAGAGAAAAAAACTGCTGTTTATTCACTGGACTTGACACCTGGTTGATGCCTGTCAGAGCCTTACGCGGTTAGCAAAGCATCAGAACAATTAGCAGCGCTTAGTCAGGGCCTTACCAAGAAACCTTCAGTAGGAACCTAAGAATTGCTGAGACAGGTACAACCTGCCCTGTGTGCACATCCAGCTGCTGTGTTTCTGCCTGGCTGGCCTCACCTCCCTGCAAGCTCACCTCCTAGAAGGCAGCGCTGTGACTGGGGGCCGGGCCGAGTGGCACTGGTTAATGGCCTGAGTTTAACGTTCATTCAGGAAGCAGCTCCCCCAAATGATAACACAACCTCCAAAATATATATATATATAAACAAATTGTCTTCTACAATGCTTGTTCTCTTACCCGTGATTTTATCTTGATAGAAAGCAAATATTCCCTATTCAACATTAGAATAAGGAAAACTGTGAAGTTGATCAAATTTATACTCAGAGCAAAACTTTATCTATCTTTCCTTCCTCTCTTAGTGGCACCCTGTTGCCCTACTGAGTTTCTACGTCCTCTGCAGTCTACAGGGCCCCCTACTAACCCTGTACTCATGGCCTTTATTCATGGTAAAGAATAAATAACACTTGAAATATTTATAAATACATTGAATAATTCATGCACTTAGCATTCAAAGCACCTTAGTCGTGGAAATTTTATATTCTACATTAATTGTAAAGTGCTGGAAGCTAATAGAACATTGTCATCCACACCAGGTACAGGAAGTTAGCCCTGCATACATTCCTGTCAAATGCCAGAGTTACTCATGAAGATGTGGTCATCTAGCATTCTATACAACTTAGTTCATGGAGAGTAAATCATCACAGTATCTGTTTGAGGCCTATAATATCATTTTTGGTTCTACCAAAGGACCATGCAGTATAAAAATATACCCATTAAATTTGTGTCCATAAAATAACATACGGCAGCACCTGGACCAATAAAAGCAGTTAAATGTAACTTATTGTCAGCATAATAAATAAAACCATATAATCAGTCACTGAAAAACAGTTCTGTCTTCAGATACCAAAAAAATAGATTCAATATCACATATCCCATGAGGTTTATCAGTAACTTTATATTTTAACCTAGAGTATTAATGAGATTATTCAATAATAATCTATTAATGATGTTATTGCACATTATTCTTAACATCTTAAAAATCAAATCCTCTTATCTGTATTAGGAACACGAACACTTGCTTTTGCTCCGATTGGAGCCCCAAGAGTCAGCCTGAATTCACCTCAAGCATCCTTCATACTGCGGACAAATTCATCTTTCACAAGTGGAATTCCTGTCATGTCAATTCCTTGCTAGAAAACAGGGAGGGAAAAGCCAGGTCCTCTCCATTACATGCTAACTTAAGTATAAATGCCTTTCTGCTGTGCTTTAAAGCCATCCGACACATGCATTAGGCGTTGTGCATGCCTTTAATTTACACAGTGGCACATTGTTGCTGTTATGCTATGATTCCTATAGGCTAAAAGTATCACTGTTTCCTAAACTTTAGTCATTGTCACTAGGCTTCACATGAATCATGGCAGATAACCCAGGGATCATTGCATGAGGGGATACCACCTTACATCTAAAATGATTAGACCAAGGTCACAAAAGGAGGTCACAGATGAGAATTTGTTCTGGACAGGTGCACCTGGGTGTCGTAAGGGAGAAAATGCTCAGGACTGTAGTGATCCAAATGACTCTTTCTTCTGACTCCAAAGGCCAATGGCATTAATAATCTCCCCTCCCCTGAAGTGGGGTATAAATATTAATTCTAAGTGAACCTAATATTATTAATTAGAGGAGTCATTGCAGAGCAACTCTTATTCCCTATTTTTCCAAGTCATGACGCAGTAAGGTGTTCCTGATTATAGCTACTTTGCCTGCTTCTTCGGTGATCACATTTAGATTTTCCCAAATATTTCTGATTTCAACTTCTGCATGCACTTAGAGGCATGGCTCAAATGAAATGATCCAGAAACATCTCAGAACAAATTGAAGTAGCCCATTGCCAAGATGTAAAGACGGGGTCAACAGATGTTACTGGAAACAGACTACGGGGGGACCAGGTGTTCCTTTTTAAGCTACGGCCTGATACGAGGCGTGATCCCGTGAAGGTATTCAGCCCATAACTGGGAAGAAAACTCCTCAAGTCATCTATCCCCACAGCCAGGCATGTGAAACAGACAGGATCACAGAAATGCCTTCCTCTTTCTTTCATTAGCACATCATCTTATAAACAAAGGAAACAGCCAATATTTGATAAATCTTGTGAGAATAAAACTTTGCCAAGAGCAACTGCCTAAATTTTAGATGAAAATGTAGTTCCTTTTCATGATGTTAAATGCAATCATAAATGGATTTTAACATATACTCAATCTACTTTAGGAAAAAATAAAAAAGCGACATTTCCATTTTCTCTGGGAATACACTAAAAGTATACATGCAGAATGTAAGACTATGGAAGATAGTCTTAATTAGTTCTTATGAGAGATTTAATAAAATAATGACTAAAAAGATGTTTCAACATTCTCTTACCCATTTACTTTGAAAACACCTCTTCTCACAATCTTGATTCTGAAGCTTTGTTGATATACCTGGTAGGAAAAGTAGGAACAGAAAATTCCACGCTATAGACTATCAAATGCCCAACGGTATTTGACATTATTATGGTAACTAGAAAATTCCAAAGAGCAAATGTTTGCCTCTTTGTGATCAAAGGGTTGTAATAATATTAATAAAGCAAAGCTGACAGATGTTAAAAATGTTCATGTCTCCCTCCTCCACAGAAGGATTTCAAAAGATCATCCAAGACAAGTTAGAGAAACCTGGACTTTTTATATACAAAAATAAATTTAAATCTGTGACTGTTAATAGATAGAAGATGCGGCTTTTAAAGTTTCTATGTGTAGGGGGCGCATTATTTTAGCCTCTCCTACGTGTTCTGAAGAGCTCCTCTTTCCCCAGGGAGATAAAGAAGCGGAACTGGGCCTTCCATTTTCCCCACTCTGTGATCGGAAGTCGACGATGGTGGCCCAGTCACAAATAGGTAATGTGGAAGATGGGTGGCCAGGGAGCGTGGGGGTGGTTTTTTTGTTTTAAATGTGCCCACCATGCTGTTCAAAGCCTTCCAGCCAAACCTCCCTTTATTGTCATGATACATTTTGTCTTTAGACTGACCAAGGTATTGGTCAGTAAAAAGTATTGAAAGAATTTCACAAAATAAATTCAATAAAGTAGCACTAGTCAACGATATTATTACTCTTGTTATAATTTTCTTTTATAAAATAAATGACTTTTTTCTGGTGTGAAGAATTGTATTTTTTATTTTGTTGCTAATTATTTAATGTGCTCCTCTAAATGCAAGACAGTCCAATGAAAATTCTAACCTTCATATTCTGTTATTGGTAAGTTTCCATAGTATGCTTAACATACAAGCTCATATTCTTTTGGAAAAACAGTTCTTGCGATATGACTAGATAAGCTAACAGCATGAATTTTGCAAAATAATATTGCTTCCAGCCACACTCATTCGCATCTGTATTTGTGCTGGGAATTTCCATGGCAGCTCATTATTAAAACACTGGATTGCCGTGCCACAGGTTTAAATATCTGTAAAAGCCATTCCCTGAAGCAGCACCTTCATTACTAAACTACACCAGCAAAAAATACAAAGTTTCTGTCCCACCTCAAACTCTCCAGCAGATCCACCTTGAAGTTGCGGGGCGTCAGAGAGCTGCTGGCCCCAACGTCTCCCTCAGCACCAACTTCCGGCAGCTATTTGTCTGGAGACCACAGCCTTGGGCCTGGTATTGTTTAGAAAGCATGGACGTGGCAGGCTGAGGGCTTCTCCTGCGGCACGCTGGGAAGGATTTAACATCCCCATCCCGAGGCCTGCTGCGCTGATTTAACTGCTGCCACCTGTGCTAGTAGACCATCTACGCTTTCCCAGCATTTAAAACCTTTACAACTCTCAAAGTAACACACCCTGGATGGACAACGGACATCGCTTTAATGTGAAGTTATCGATTAAAACCCACTTTTGAAGTTTTACTTTTAACTAGAAATGTGCCTCTGTATTTACCATGAGGAGCCCCGTTACTCGCAATGCCAATTTTATCAAGCGTCTGGGTGGGTCATCTTCACACGTGGATGCTTCGTGGAGAGCGATTACCGCCGAAGGCCTCTCCTTCCCTCGCTCCCTCGTGTTCCCGCGGGGCAGAGTCTCATTCAACGCACACTTGAATGCAAGCACCTGCCTGGCTGTCAGTTGTCTCCTTCTCTACCCAAACGCTGGGCGCTGAAAGCTCCGGAGGGCAGCGCCCTGCTCTTATGTATCTTTTCCTGCCCCGCTAAGTACTGCGAATGTAAAAGTCTTTCAGTCCTGCCATCTCGGAGTGGCAGGATGGACACCGTCTCCAGAGAAGTTACTGCTCCCTGCTGTCCTGACAGCGTGTGCTCACACGCTGTGAACAAACACTTCACATCCAGGGAATGATAAACAGCAATTCGAAACACTGACACACGAGCAGAAAGAGCTGAAAACAAAAAGTGGTCACCTTCCTGTAGCCTGGGGGGGTGGTGGCAGACTACAATTATTTAGTTGCTTTGGAGCTTGGGTAAGATTTCTTTTGAGGCAACAAAAAAATTCAACCAAATGAGAACTTTTCTAAAAGGATGATGATCCTTCTCATTGAGAGATGAAATGCATTCCCTTTTGGTAGATCTGAATTTGTTGTTAGCAACAGTGTGTAAGGCTGAACATGAACCCGGAAAGCCGACGTCCTTAAGCTGGCAAAGTAAAATGTGCCGCCTTCACAGCTTGATGTATTATTTTCCATTAATGAAATGGTCTCTAAAAATTGTGCCATTGAATTAAAATACTGATACTTGCTATTCCAGAAATGCGCCAGTATCCCTTAGTGATTATTCAGGAAGTTATTCAGGATTTAGAAATTTATAACACCTGAATTTAGCTCTCTTTGCTTTTGCTTTTGTTTTTTAGGTTTCATTGATTTCATAGTAGAGCCAACATTTTCTCTTCTGACAGACTCCACAGAGAAAATTGTTATTCCTCTTATAGAGGAAGCCTCAAAAGCTGAGAGTCCTAACTATGGAGCAAGCAGGTATGATACTTTTTCTTTTGCATCATTTTCGTGTCTGTGATGTTTAACAACCTTGTACTTAATGATGATCCTTAGTTTTACAGCTGGCCAGGGCATTCTTGCAAGAATTATTAGGCAGTACTGTCACCTAGTGGCTTTTTATTGTATTGCATCTGCCTTTGACATTGAGAATGGATGTCCACTGTTTGAGAACTTCTATGTCAAAAAATATCAACCAATAACGAATGCTGGAGGGGTTGTGGGGAGAAAGGAACCCTTCTCCGCTGTTGGTGGGAGCGCTGCAGACTGATACAAACATTGTGGGAATCAGTGTGGTGATTTCTCAAAAAACTAAAACTAAAACCCAGTTATACCTCTTCTTCGTATCTTCTTGAAAGAATTAAAAGCATCATACCATAGCAATATACACATGCCCATGTTTATAGCAGCACAGTTTGTAATAGCTAAATCTAGGAAACAGTCCAAATGCCCGTCCACTGAACAAAGACATGGGGGCTTTTTCTACAATGGACTACTACTTTGCCACGAAGGATGAGCTCCAGACATTTCTACTACATGGATGGACCCTGAGACCATACTCCTAGGCAAAATAAATCGGACACCAGTGTTTAAATACCGCAGTGTTTCTCTGATGTGATAAGGTGAAAGCGGGAATAAGGACTGAAATGCGTAGTGCTTGTTGGGAAATGGGTTAAAAGTGTTCAGACGGAAAGGAGAACGAGGGAGGGGAGAGGGAGAAAGGAAGGACAAGAAAAAAGCGAAAATGAAAAAAATGGAACAAAACTTCTGTACATAGGGAGGGGAGGGACTTGGGGGCATGGGAGAGATTTAAATTAATTTTTAAGAAACGTACCCTGGAGTGCGCTGAAAGTTTTTGAGCCATCGATGACCTTGGGGTCTTCGGGCTTCTCTCTCTGTGACCGCAGCTCAGCCACCCTTGTGGGGCTGCACATCGCCGATTCCGCGAGACGATCGAATATGAGGGGCTGTGTGAGCGACGGCAGCTGCTCCCCGGACTACTCGCTGGCCGCCGTGGACCTGGAGAGCTTCAAGAACAACCTGATGGGCATCATTCAGCAGAACAAGGAGCGCTGGAAGGAGCTGGCTGTGCAAGGTCCGCGGCCGTGTACGCTTGCTGCCCCCTCTCCCCCTACTGCTCCTCCCGTGTGCTGCGTTTCCTCCGCTCTGCTTTTTTCTTTTCTAAAGTTGTTCGTGGCGTTGGGAGTTTGGCTACTCTTGGATTACTCGTGAGAAAGCTGGCCCTTTTGTCCGATAAAACGGATCTCTGCTCTGTTTGCCCACGTGGCCTGCAGATTGGTGTCCGTGGCCAGTGGGGACCTGGATGTGAAGGGTGCACAGGTCAAGAAAGCGGTGATAAAACCTTGAGGCCCAGGAACCTCCTGGGCCTCCGAGCAGATACTTTCGAACCTCTTTTAGTGCTAGGCGGGAAGGTCACACGCTCTTCTTGTCCTGCCGTTTGCAAGAATAAAACTTGCCAGATGACTCTGTTCCCTTGATGGACCCTCAGTATTATAGAAAAGTTGCTTCTGTCGATGCTTTCCCACTTTGTGCTGTTCTTCTGTCCACGTCACCCGAGCAGGAAATCCCCCACCACATTGTTGTGAGAGAATTTAGTTTATCTCATCTGCTCAGAAGTACCTAGAGTAGTGAGTATTGTGAGTTGGCTGTCATCGCTGAAATTATTATTTGTTGTACTTAGGTGATGTAGTCTAGGAATTAGAGATATACTCAAATGGGAGGCAAAAAAATCCTACTCTCGTGCAACAGGGAGCAGGATTACGATTTTAAATGAGGTGAGCAGGAAAGGCTCCATTGAGCACGTGATAATTTAAATTCATAGGTGGAGGACGTCCGAAAGGGAGCCACAGGCTGTCTGGAATGGTAGGTGATACATTTCCAGACACGGGTAGGCCATCGCCTGTTTGGGAGGTAGAGCTGCTCTGATACGCAAGAAACAAGGAAGTCAGGGAATAGGGAAGTGGGCATTGTGGACCATGTGGGCAGCCTGATGAGTGAACACGGTGGTGCCAGGTCATTGGGTTGGCCCAAGGGAAACAGGAAGCTGCATGTAGCATTTTGAGAAGCAAAATGAGTAATGGCTTTGAAAATATTTATCTGGCTGCAGAGTAGAAGATATTCTTTAGCATGGGAGGCAAAATTATAACCCAGGAGGCCAGAAAAAGGGCTATTGTTAATAATCCAGGAGAAAGACGGGGATTGCCACCGAGTAGGAACAGTGGGGCAGGTGTCATGAGGGTTCTCGGTGCGTCAGGATGGTGACGAGAACCCTGGGTGTCTGGCAGAACCCGCAAGAGATTGGGCTCTGCGTTTGTCTTGCAAGTAGAATGGATAGGGTCTGCTCTGAGTAGAGATGAAGTAAGAAATCAAGAGAACAGTCGAGAATAGTATCGGATACATATTCAACCCTCCACAAAATGTGAAACTAGGTGAAAAGAGGGATAAAGAGAGGATGATTAGAGCATGTTTTGGGCCTGTGAAAAAAAGAGAAATGTAATAAATGTTGGCTGTGAAAAGATAATGTCAGGCATTTTGGTTTTCTTATACATTAATTGTGTATGTGAATCTATGTAGTTATTCCCCAGAGGAACTTGACATTCGAAGAAAAGGAAAAGGTAGGTATACCATGTTTTCCAATAATTTTCTTCTCTATTTTTACCATAGAGAGACTTTAGCTCAAGCATATTGGAAGACACGCCCAAGACATATGTAGCAGCCTTGTTCACGAGTGCAGAATAAAGTGAAAACTAAAAAGCAGGCAGTAAAAGGGAGTCACATACTCTGGTTTGCTCATATTCTATAGCCACATGCAATTGTTAAAATAAACTTTATATAAGCACAAATAGGGTCAGATAAGACTCAAATAGTGTGAAGCAAAACATACAATTGGCAGATGCCATTTAGACAAAGCAAGATGCCTTTTAAACAGAGTTTTAAAAACGAACATGAAAACAACAGGGAGTTGGTATGTTTTAAGTACTGGGGAACACAGTCCTTCGCACGGAGCTACAATTCCAGCTCTTTTTATATTTTTGTTTTGAGACAGGGTCTCACTAAGTACCTAAATTGCCCAGGCTGGACTTGAACTTGTGATCCTCCTGCCTCAGCCTCCCCTGAGCACTGGGATTACAGGCATGAGCCACTAGGCTCAGCCACAATAGGTTTTAGAGTACATGTATGAGAAAAAGAATGTTTGTATTTTTTAACACGGGAATTTTCAAAAGTAAAACAAAAAATCAGCCTTTAATGTTCACCTTTTTTGTGGTTAAATTGTATGTATTTGGAGTGAGAAAAGAATTATGGAGGCAAACGTTCAGAATGGCCCTAGGAGGCAGGGTGGTTATTTATTTAGGGATTAGAATGTTATTTCTTAGACTGAGACACTAGATGGCTGTTCATTATATTGTCATGGTTATACCTAACCTAAATGCTTCATGTCTGTACACACACATCCATCCGAATGAATAGACTGTTTCATAATAAAAACTTAAAAAGTGATCAACTACAAAAATAGTGATCAGTTTTAAAGTCAGTGAGTGCCAGTCAGATTTCTACTACTTGACATCATTTCCAGTGTTAAATACACTGAAAATGGATGGTTCTGTGTATAACTGCCCTAAGCTTAAATAAGCAGGGTGTGGTGCTTAGAGATTCAGAGTATTAATTAACACCAAGGCTTGGGAGAGAATCCCAGGTATTGGGACATGTGAGCTATCCTTACGGCTGCAGTCTCTTGCTCCTCTCAAGCATATCTGAACTGGCAGAACCTCTGCTCTTGCACCTTGGGGCCATTAACAATGAAAGCAAAGGTTGCTCAGTCACAAGCACAGAGATGCAGCACAGTCTGCACCTAATGAGCGAGACTGCTGAGTGCCTGATGGATGGGAATGGTATAGCTTGTGACTGTCCTGGACAGAGGGATGAATGAATCACATCCCAAGTGAGATGGTGTGGGACTGGGTGAGATTTCATCACTCTATTCAGAACAGTAGACACTTTAAAACATGTTTATTTTGGGACATTTCCATTTAAAACTGGACTGTTGTCATAGTTATTTTTGTTGCAGAGACAAAATACCTGACATTGAAAGTTAATAGAAGAAAGGTTTGCTGTACCTCACAGTTTGTAGAGGTTTCAGTCCATAGTTGGCTGGCTCCAAGGCAGGGTGGACAGCAGAGGGGCATTGCAGAGGAGAAACAGTTCATGGCAGGCAGAAGGCAGCAAAGCAGCAAAGAAGTAGCAAGCAAGCACAGTAGTCCTCTTTCTATCTCTTATATTATATCCAGGCTACATTGCATTATCCATACTCAGAGCTATGGCAAACTAGTCAGTAGACTAATTTAGTTATCACACACCTTTGATCCTAGCATCACACACCTTAGATCCACTTTAGATCCTCTGAAAAAACCCTACCCATTGAGTGTATGAGGCTTTGGGGAAACACAGACACAAACCAAAAAACTGTGGGTGGTCTAGGATAGTAGTGGTGAACCTATGGTATACATATTGAAGCTGGCTGATTGTTATATTTGAGAGGTCTAAAAGGTTTTCCATTACTGACCTGGGAGAGTTGAAACCATGGGGGCTGTGGAATTTGAAATATCTTGAAATGTAATATGTTAAATTATACATTGTAAGTGATTTTTGTAATTATGTTAGAATTAATGCCAATCAAAATGTGGATTCTTTTTCTGCTAAGTATAAAATTATGTGCCTGGCAATATAGTACCACAGTCCATCACAGTCCTTATTTCTATTTGGTCAGCCAAACAGTCCTCCCATGATTTGGGTCTTCCATTTTGCCAAGGTAAAAACAGGACTAAGGAAGCCAAGAAAGCCAGCCAATGTGACAGATGTGTATGTACATTACAAATGAATCAAACTTTCTCCTTCCCTTTCAGTTTCATATAATATACAGAAAAGATGAAAAGGGTAAACACAGAAAAAGGAAGAAATTTATTGGGAACTCTTACACCCAAGGCTAGCATGTTTGTGTCATCAAATCTACTTCTACCTCTCGGCCCACCTCATCCAGTGAGCTTTCCAGTATTGGCCATCCAACCAGTCACATCTCACAGACATTTTCACTTTAACATATTAAAATTTATGGATTTGGGTGTGAAATTTTATTTCTACAAGAATGTATTATGGCAATTCAACAAGGAAAGAAAAAGTCTGATGAAACTGAAATTTAGAGAACTTACAAATATGCATCTAAATTCAAATATTTTGTCTTTGAAAGGGGATTTGCATCTATTTTGCCTGAGTTAAAAGCCAGAAACCTTATAGATTATACTCTGAAATTTCATTTTTGATAGGTTGGTTTTATATTTGCTAAAACTTTCCTCAAGAACAGAAGGTCTCTAGATTGTTAAAATAAGTGCTCCCCCACTTTTTTTCCAGAAGTAAAAATCAGGTCACGGAAGCGTAAGTTTTACCATCATTGAACACCTTTAAGTAAAACCTCATGTGTGATGGCATCTCTAACTTGACAAAAAGACTTGGAGATTTTGATATTCTTGCTGGAAATCTACCCGAACCTGTGTGAGAAAGGGAATCCATTTTTGCAGATCGCTCAGTTGACATCTACTATACTTCGATTGACCTGGCTCGACTGATACAGAACAGATTCATCTGATAGTTACATCTGAACATTTCTGGTTTAAAATATCAGTTCAAGTAGAACTTTGTGGCATTTCTCTCTATTGAGATACTATGGTATGTGTCAATAAATTTTCTTTGAGCAGAAATTCATTAATTTTGTCATTTCCACAATAAAGCCTATTCATTTATTTTCACTATGTAGGTCCCTCTTCTAAGATGTCTAAAAGATAGATCAAATTTCATGAATTTAATTGTCCTTTATATCAATTTCACCAATTGTTCCAACAATGCTTAAATGCTTCTCTTTCATTACAAATGACATAAAAATTTTAAGGAACAGTTATCTTACGAATAGTGTTTATATCACAGTGGGAATGAATGACTGGGGTAAAATGGTTTAATATATGGTTTTTATTGTATTTTCAGATTTGCCCACTACCCAATTCAGTTTAAAATTAGCCAAGTTATTTT